AACTCTGACTGTCAAGCTTTTTTTTTGTTTTGTTTTTTGTTTTGTTTTAGGAGACAGGGTTTCTCTGTATTGTTTTGGAGACTGTCGGTCCAGCCTGGCCTCGAACTCACAGAGATCCGCCTGCCTCTGCCTCCTGAGTGCTGGGATTAAAGGCGTGCACCACCACCGCCCGGCGACTGCCAAGCTTTAACACCTTTACTTGCTGAGCTCTTACTGGATCACTCATTTTCATGCTTTTATTTTTATTTTTATCTTTTTTAGAAACAATCTTATTTAACATATCAATCTCCCCATTCCCTTGCCCACCCATCCTCCCATCGATGCCCCCAGCCCACCCTCCCACCCACTTTCATGCTTTTATTTGCTTAGCCATTTAGTACTTCTCACTATATTGAACCCTAATGAGTACTATCTTTATTTATTTTTGTTTTTTGACACAGGGTTTCTCCTTGTAGCCCTGGATGTCCTGGAACTCACTCTGTAGACCAGGCTAGCCTCTCAAACTCAGAGATCTTCCTGCCTCTGCCTCCTGAGTGTTGGATTAAAAGCGTGCACCACCATTGCCCAGTTTAGTGTTAACCAGCTACCTTCAGTGCCAACTACTAGCACTTAGCACTTAACAGGTTTGAGAGAACAAATGACCTTCCTGTTACAAGACTAACCAGACTGACCCACTACACCAAGAGGTCAACAAGAGTGCAAAATATGAGCTTCCAAAGAGGTTCTCAAGACTCAGGATCAGAGCCTTGGCAGCAGAGATCTTGTCTGCAACCTTCTATATGGAATAGTAAAATAGGTACTCTAGGATCCTAAGAAAGGATTAAATCCAAACTCTTCCTGACTTGCTTTTACGATAACACCAATTAGCACAGTTTTAATGCTCTTGGGCTTGGAAAGAAAGTGTGCAGAACTACTGTTCTGTCTAAAGATCCTGGGTACTAGTCTATGGAAGGGTTTCCTGAATTCTGTTCAAAGGAATATGAAATTTTCAGTGAATACAAGTTAGTGCATTTTTTGCCTGTATTTTTATTTTCTGGCATTTATTTATGGGGGTCATGCATGCATGAGGGACCACTTGCAGGAGTCAGTTATCTTCTTCCATTATGTGGGCACCAAGGACCAAACTTAAGATTGTCAGGCTTGACAGGAAACACAGGCTCTGAATCATCTTGCCATTGCCAGCCCCACACTTTCTTTAAGATTTTTATCTTTAGTTTTAATTGTGTGTATATGTGTTTGTGCACAGGATTGCACTCCTTTAGAGGCCATAAGATGCCAGATCCCCTGGTACTGGAGTTTTTTTTAAGATTTATTTATTTATTATGAATATAATATCCTGCCTCCATGGATGCCTGCATGCCAGAAGAGGGCACCATGTGGTTGCTGGGAATTGAACTCAGGTCCTCTGGAAGAGCAGTCGGTGCTCTTAACCTCTGAGCCATCTCTCCAGCCCGGTACTGGAGTTTTAAGCAGTTTTGAGCTACCTGATGTGATGCTGGGAACTGAACTAAGGTCCAATCCAAGCTCTCTTCAGCCCCCAACCCTTAATTTTTTTGAGACTGGATCTCTCCAGGAACCCACAGCTCACAAATGAGCTCCAGAATTCTCCATGTCTCCACCTCTCCAGCACTAAGAACAGAGATACACACCTTGCTTTTTATGAATGGTGGGGATCTAAATACAGGCTTTCATGGCAAACATTTTACCAAAGGAACCATCTCCCCTACCTTCCAGTTTTTTAAAATTACATCTTAACTACGTTATTGTGGGCACACATGAAAAGGCACTTGTATGGAGGTCAGTGGACAATTTGTAAAAGAAAGGTGATTCTCTACTTCCATGTAGATCAGAGGACTGAACTCAAGTCATCTTCAAGCTTGGCAACAGATGAGTTAACCCACAGAGCCACCTTCCCAACAAGATTTTTTTTTTTTCTGACAGAGTATCAATTACCCCAGGCAGGCTGGCCTAAACTCCAGATCTTTTCTGGCTCTACTTCCTAAGTGCTAGGGATTAAAGAATGTACCATTGTGACTGGCTTAATTTATTTAGAATTCTTTTTTATACACAAGATCTTACTCCTTAGTCCTGGATGTAGCCAGGAGGTTGGTGATGCACACCTTTAATCGTTAATCCTAGCACTCAGGAGGCAGAGGCAGGTGGATCTCTGTGAGTTTGAGGCCAGCCTGGTCTACAGGGTGAGTTCCAGGACAGCCTCCAAAGCCACAGAGAAACCTTGGGGGGGGGGGGGCCTGGGGGCTGGAGAAATGGCTCTGTGGTCAAGAGCACTGACTGCTCATCCATAGGACTCAGGTTCAATTCCTAGAACCCACATGACTGCTCACAACGTTCTGGACACCCATGGCAAAACACCAATGCAAATAAAACAAAAATAGTTCTGGAACTCACTCTGGCCTCAAACTCAGAGATCTGCCTGTCTTTGCTGGGATTAAAGACATGGGCCAGCTACAGGCTCGTCTTAAACTCACAACAATCCTCCTGCTTCAGTCTCCTAAGGTTACAGGCTGAGCCACCACACCCAGCATGTGCTTTTTTCCGTTAAGATCGGTCACAACTTTCACTGATTTCTCAAGGACATTAATGTTAAACATTTGGATATCAAATTAAGTATGGTGGCTCCTAGCAGTTAGGAGTCTGAGGTAGAAGAACTGCCACAAATCTAAACCAAGTAGGACTACATACCAAATTTCAGGCCAGTTTGTAATATGAAGCAAGGCTTTGTCTCAAAAAATAAATGTTAGGCTAAATTAAGTTATAGTATTAGCCCTTTAAAATTATTCCTTTAAAATTATTATTATTGTTATTGTTATTATTATTTTACACACATAAACACAGATAAAACCGACTAGAATTTGCATTTAAGATTTTATATAAGCTAAAGAGATGGCTCAGCAATTAAGAGCACTGGCTGTACTTCCAGAGGACCAGGGTGCAATTCCCAGCACCCACATGGCAGCTTATAACTGTCTGTAACTCCAGTTCCAGGGCATCTGGCACCCTCACACAGACATACATGCAGACAATACACCAATTCACATAAAAATAATTTGTAAAAAAATTCTACAATTTCATTCATCCCAGAACTTTCACAGTGGAAGCCTGAATATCAGAGTTCAAGGCCAGCCTGTGCTACAGTGAGACCTCGGCACAAAACAAAACATGGCATAACAGATTCTATAATGGGAAGAGTCCTTACTAACATTCTTTAGAAACTAGTGCCTGAGCTGGAAAGATGGCTCAGAGGGTAAAAGGTATTTGCTTCCAAGCCTAATGACCCAAGTTCTATCTCTAGGATCCACCGGTAGAGGACAACTAAAATATCAAAGTTGTCCTCTGATCTTTACACAAATGCCAAGGGATTGCCTTCCTCCCGTGTAGCAATAGTAATTAATAATAATAGTAATAATTAGTGCCTTATTCTAATGTATGCTGAACCTGGCAAATCAGAATGTTTAATATATTGCTTGCTAAAGCGTTTAAGAAAATATGTTCTAGTCAGATGTGCTGGCATACACCTTTAATCACAGCACTCAGGAAACAAAGGCGGGATTTGTGAGTTCAAGGTCAGGCTGGTCTACGGAGCCAGCTAGAGTTACAGACCAAGAACCTGTCTCACAAGTGGGTAAAAGAAATAAATCAAAAAACAAAGAAAATTAAGTATAATAGAGTTTTTTAAAAATCATCCGGAGGTAAAAGAAAGCTTTCTAGCTTCATTTTGTACTGTAGGAATAAGCCAAAACATAAGGAGACACATTTAATAATTCACCAATCACTAAATTCGATCTTGGCAGCAATGTTAATGATTAACAACGAATCATTTGTAAGGGTAGAAAAGTTTTGCCTGTATTAAAAAGTAAGCCACTAGCTGTAAAAAGGTAGTCACAGCGCTCGTAGCACAGACTACTTTAGTACGAGCTCAATAGCTAAGGTTACTCTCTGACGACAGAAAACTGGGGCGGCCTACGGACATGTGGCCTCTTTGGGGCCGAGAGAGTGAAGGCTACAACCACCGATGCACTCATTTGGGAAACGCGCCCAAAAGCAAAGCTCACATAAAGATCTGTGGTGCACTACATACACATCTGTAAAGTATGCCTAGGCAAAGGGCATTTTAAAGAGGACGCTACTTTAGTCACGGATAATACAACCAAAGCCTCTGTTCCGGGAAGCTCTGGCATACGACGACCCACTCTCCTGGAGAAAGCAGCCCAAGAAAAGACTGACGATCCCCATCCCTCGGGAGCTCTCGCCACCGCTTCAGCTCCGGCTCTGCTATCGCCACAGGCCCCCGAGAATACAGCAAGTCACCGAGAGAGACCCCGTTTCGCCCTGGCTAGCCCCGATCACAGGACTCGCTAGTCCTTCGCGCCGCACCGGTTACCAGCGCGCACGGCCACCGAACACCGGCCGACAAGAACGCTGTCCACCGGCAAGCGGAGACTGTGTCACCCCGTTCCCGGTGTCCCTCGACCGTCCACCCGGCGCACCACTCGCCGGGGCCCGGCCGCGCAGCCAGCAGGCGCCGCTGTGGCGCCGCCTTCACAACCAACAGCGTACAGTCACCTAGACGCTTCCCGTCTAAAGCCTCGCAAAGGGGGGTGAGGGCTTTCCGCGCAGGCGCGCCCCTGACGCGGCCCGCGCTCGCCACTTCCGCCCGAACGGGAGGCGGGGGAGGCGACACGGAGCCGGCAGGCGCGAGCTCGGATCCTCGGAGGACCCAGACGCCGCGCGGGCCCGAAACTCACCAAGTATAACGGCTGCCAGCGACACTGAGCGTCCAGTTCCTCGAACTCCCGCTCGATGGTGGCCGACATGGCGGCGGGGGAGCGCGAGCGGAACCACCACAGCGGAGAGGCTAGGGCCCCGCTCTATCCGGGGAGAGCGCTGGCGCTGTGGCGCATGCGCGCTCCGCGCCCCGCCCCGCCCCCACGTTGAGCCGAGCCGGCCTTGGGGAAAGTACCTGGAGCGTGGGACGTCAGCGCGCCGCCCGGGCGCCGCGTGGGTCGGACGTCTCGGAGGCGGGACGAGCGCGAGGGGGCGTGGTCCGGAGTGTGCCCAGGTGGGAGGGGCGGGGCCGGCCGCCACCCTGGAGCTACGTTTGACAGTGTCTTCCCCGGAGGTGAAAAAGTCCCTGGAAAGTCACCAGCCAGCCCTGTCTTCCTCGCCTCCCCAGGTCTCCTTTTCTCCTTAGTCTTCAAGTTTTTTTTTAATGCAGTATCTGAGATCTATTTAAATACCATCTAGGTTAATCTAATGGCAGGTGTTCAACTTTGGAACACCTTACCATGATGTCATCCGGGTAAGTTTTGTGCCAAACAAAGTTGTTTTTTTTTTTTGGTTTTTCGAGACAGGGTTTCTCTGCGGCTTTGGAGACTGTCCTGGAACTAGCTCTTGTAGACCAGGCTGGTCTCGAACTCGCAGAGATCCGCCTGCCTCTGCCTCCCCGAGTGCTGGGATTAAAGGCGTGAGCCACCACCGCCCGGCCCAAACAAAGTTCTATAGGAAAAGAGAAAGCAGTTTTGGGAGAGAGGCTTGTTTAGAATAAGACTCAAAGCTCCAAAGTTAGTATTCTCTGTTGAAAGCACATATAAGTCCCCATCTACGAAACAAATGCCTGGCTCCGGAAATCGTTTTGCCTCAGCTTTGTGATAACTCAATGTTGGTGAACTCATGTGCTTAAAAATCTTACCATCTGATAATCTTCAGAGATGTGAAGGATGCTTGTGGGCCTTTTGGCCAAGATCTACAATTAACTCAGGAATTAGGAATTCATTGAAACTCCGTGTTCATTCCCCAGCGCTGAGGGCAAAGAACAAAACCCCTAAATACAGCGATCCCATTTCTCAGTGTCTAGCCGGTGCTTTTGCTCAATAGCCTCATGTGGCTAGTGGCTGCCTTGTGGTCTAAGGCACAAGTAGATCGTTTGTGTCATCCAAGAAGATTCTTTGGTTTTGATGTTTGGAGTTGGGTTCTTTGGATTTTGTTTGAGGGGATTTGGGGGGAGTGGTTTGCTTTGTTTTGAGATAGTCTCAAAAAAAAAACAGCCCAACCTCCAACCTGGGATCCTACTGCTTCTACATCCTAAATCCTGATTTACAGGCATCTGCCACCACACCCTTCAAAGAGTTTCTTTAGGATAGAGCTACCTAAAAAGATTACAATATAGATCAGAAAATGCTACCAAACCTGGTAAGGTAAAACGGGCCTATCACAGTCTTGCTAGACTTTGCAGGATGATAGCATGTTCAAGGTCAGCCTGAGAAGAAACAGTAAGATCTTGTCTTTAGAAGCGGGGAAGAAGGGCAGAATAGAGTCCAGAAACAAACTCAAAGGGTCAAGAATAGCCAAAAAGAAGCTGGGCGTTGGTGGCGCACGCCTTTAATCCCAGCACTCGGGAGGCAGAGGCAGGCGGATCTCTGTGAGTTCGAGGCCAGCCTGGTCTACAAAGTGAGTTCCAGGACAGCCTCCAAAGCTACAGAGAAACCCTGTCTCGAAAAACCAAAAAAAAAAAAAAAAAAAAAAATAGCCAAAAAGAGATCTGAGAACTTACTTACCATGATAGTAAAATGCGTTAATACAGTCTGGATTGCTTTCATTTGTTGTTTGGTTTTTTGTTTGTTTCCCCGGTATTCCAGAGGGAAGGTAGGCAGTCACACTTGATAAGCAGGCATTCAACCACCTATCTGTATCCCCAGGAGTTTGGGTCTTTGTTCCTTCAGAATTTCTCTCCCTCCTCATTCCCTCCCTTTGTTTCTTTCTTCTCTTCCATCCTTATTTCCTTTCTTTCCTTTTTTTTAAACTCAGCTTGACAGATTGAACTCAGGACCTTGCATGTGCTAGGCAAGCACTCTATTATTTCACTATCCCCTAGCTATTTAAATTTGTTTCTTTCAAGTTAGACTGGAGAGATGACTCATTGGTTCAAAGCACTGGCTACTCTTTCAGAAGACTGATGTTAGATTCCCAGCACACACATGTCTGCTCACAACCATCTGTAATTCTGGTCCCAAGAGATTGCTGTCCTCTTTCCGTCTCCATGGGCATCAGGCACACACTTAGTGCATGTACATGCCTACAAAACATTCATACACATAAAACTAAAGGGTTTTTTATTTTAATTTTGAGGCAGAATTTCACTAAGTACAGCAGGCTAGCCTTGAACTTGTTCTGAAACTGAAACAAATACTTCAGATCCTCCTCCAAGTGATTGGGATTACAGACCTGGCTTGTGTGGCTTGTGTTTTTTGTTTTGGTAGGGTCTCAAATTGTAGTCCAGTGTGGTCCTAACCTTGACATCCTCCTGCCTCTGCTTCCCATGTACAAGGACCAGCGGCATGTACAACATATTCATGACAACAGTATTATATTTATGGAAGAATAAACAAGCTGATTAGTCTAAATCAAGCAACAGACTTATACATCCAGTATTCACACATATTTTCCAATGGTTGACAGCTAGTAAAATGGGAAGATAAACTGGGCTGTGGTGGCGCACGCCTTTAATCCCAGCACTCGGGAGGCAGAGGCAGGTGGATCTCTGTGAGTTCGAGACCAAGCCTGGTCTACCGAGCGAGTTCCAGGACAGGCTTCAAAGCTACACAGAGAAACCCTTTCTTGAAAAAAAAAAGGGGGGAAATAATAGTGTTATCACAATTGGTGCTGGACTCAAAGATCAAAATATAATGTTTGTTTCCATTTACATGAAGTTCAAGAACAGTAGCAATGCTGGAGCAGGGATGGTGTTGAGGTATTGATCATTCTGGAATATTTTAAATCTTTAAATGCAGTAATATACATAATATGCCCATATTTTGTGCATGTATATATTAACCAATGAGCTGCACATGTAAGATTTTTAAACTTTATGCTAATTTCAAAAAATTACAAAATTGCCAGGTTGGTGGCACACGCCTTTCATCCCAGCACTCAGGAGGCAGAGGCAGGCGGATCTCGAATTCCAGGACAGGCTCCAAAGCAACACAGAGAAACCCTACCTGAAAAAAAAAGTTAACAAACAAAAATCTTTCAGTCAGCTAGGTAAGAGGTCCATGACTGTAACCCCAAACACCCAGGTATGAGGATTGGAAGTTCAAGGCAAACCTCAGTTATATGAGACCTTATCATAAATTATCATTGCAATACTCCCTAGCTCAAGTACAGAGATAGTCCCTCAAATGAATTATCATTCATTCATCATAATATCTGAGTGAGCTGTCTATCTTTTTTATGTTAAATTCTAAGGTTCTCTCTCTTTCCCTCTTCCTCCCTCCCTCCCTCCCCCCCCTCTATCATTTTATTAATGTATTTATTGACACAGGCCTCACTATGTAGAGCTGGCTAGCTTGGAACTTACTAAGTAGACCAAGCTGGCCTCAAACTCACAGAGATCCTCTTACCCCTGCATCCTGAGTGCTGGATTTAAAGTTTTATGCTACTTTGGAAAAGCCCTCTCTAAGGATGTTGTGGACCCTTTGCCTGCTGGTATCTTTTAACCTTTGTCAAGAGAAGGCAGTGCTGGAGTAAAAGCCGGTGTGGGTCTCTTTTGTGATTCCTCAGCCAGCAGGCTCCTGTACCAGGAGGGGCTCTGCAGCAGCCAGCAGTCCCCACCACCTAACCCCATCCCAGCACCGTATCCCTTAGGAGGTTTTCCAGCAGGATATCTTCAGTGAGACATTTCCCATGAACAGTTTCCACCTTAGAAAGATGATTAGCAACAAGCTCTAGAGGGTGGACTGGTGGCCTTTCCAGATGCCGTCCTAGAACCTGTGAATGTGGCCTTCCATGGGGGAAAATGGGTTTTCAAAGATGTAATTAAAGTAAGTGGTTTAAGATGAGATCATCCTGGATTATTAAAGGAGTATTAAGTCCAAGGACAAGTGTCCTCCCAAGAGAATGACAGGGAGAGGGAGAGAGGGAAAGAGGGAAGGAGGAAGGAGGAAGGCAGGGACAGGGAGGAGGGAGAGGGAGAGAAAAGGCCATGTGAAGATGGAGGCAAACAAATAGGTTATACAGCCACAAGAACACCTGGAGCCCCAGCAGGTGGAGAAAACAAGGGCGGATTCCCTGCTAAACCTTTCAAGGAAGCAGAGCTTTACTAATGGTTTCCACATTAGTAAGAGAATAAACTGCTGAAGGGTTTTGCTTTGTTTCTGAAACAAAGTTTCCAGTAGCCTAAGCTGGCTTTGTATGCCAAAGCTACACATAGGAGCCACCATAGTAGCTAAACTGCTGTTTCCTTGGACCATCAAGATCTTGATTTGTTCTGACAGCAGGCTGCAAGTTCCCGCAGTGTGGTACTGCTAGAACTCAGTCTTCCTTTTAGTGAACCAGAGGCAGGGCCTTCCCCAAAGAGGGCTAGGTCTCATCCTTCCTAGAGCCAGAGTGAGGAGGCAGAGGGAGTGTTCTGTTCTTTCCAGAACACTGCGCCCCTCCTCTCTCTGTGTTCCCACATCCTTTTGAGTTCTCTAAACGCTTTGTTTGTTTTAGTTTTTTTTTTGTTGATTTGGTTTGTTTTTTCGAGACAAGGTTTCTCTGTGTAATAGCCCTGACTGTCCTAGAACTCACTCTGTAGACCAGGCTGACCTCAAACTCACAGAGATCCCCTGCCTCTGCCTCCCAAGTGCTGGGATTAAAGGTATGTGCCACCACTGCCTGGCTAAACTTTTTTAAAAATAGTTTATTTTTATTTTATGTGCATTGGTGTTTTTCTTGCATGTGTGTCTGTATGAGGATACTGGATCCCCTGCAACTGGAGTTACAGACAATTATGAGCTGCCATGTGGGTGCTGGGAATTGAACCCTGGGTCCTCTGGAAGAGCAGCCAGTGTGAGCCATCTCTCCAGCACCAAGTTCTCTAAACTTTTTACTAATAAATCTTCACCATTCCAACCCACTCTACGTAATTATTCTTTACACTAGTTGTTTTCAATTTAGATTACTCTGTGGTTGGCACTGAGATTGTAGTTTAGTGGTAGGTAATTTGCCTAGCATGTTCAGGATCCTATATTCCATCCCCAATTCCACAAAGAAACAAAAAAAAAATTACTGAGTGGTTGCTCTGTTCTACTTAGACACATACTGACATTCTGCATTATCATCATCATTTCATAATAATAATAACTCATACAGCTCTAAATTTAACATCAAGTCAGGTGTAATGGCTTATGCCTATAAAACTAGTACTCAGAAGGCTGAGGTAGAAGGATTGCCATGAGTCAGGGACCAGCCTAGGCTATATAGTAATTTCTGGGTCATCCTGGGCTACAGAATGAGACACCATCCCAAAAATAAATAAACTGTAAAATGAGATATTTTATTTTTATTTATTTTGAGATAGGGTCTCATGTAGCCCAGGTTGCGTCTGAAATTTACTATGTTTCTGAGATGGGCCTTGAATTCCTAACCCTCCTGTTTCCACCTCCCAAGCCCTGTAGTTATCGAGGTGGACCATCATTTCTGGTAGATCCAGTGGAGGCAGGAAGATCAAGCATTCAAGGCCATCGTCTGCTTCGTGGGGAGTTCAAAGCAACCCTGGACCTCATGGGACCCTGTCTCAAATAACTAAAAGAAAAAGTAAAGAAAACAAAATCAGAGATTTCCGCTGAGCCAAAAACAGCATAGCAAAACCCCATGGAGGCAGCACTGGCAAAGCGGTAGCAGAATAAGGACAGCGAAGAAAATCCCCTTGGCTCCGGGAAATCTGGAAACGGAGCAAGGCTCCACATACAAAGCAGATGCTTCTGGCAAAGAAAGAATGGATGAAAGAGAAGGGGCCGGCGTGAGCAACTGGAACCAGTTCTGAGAGCCTGGTGTGTTTAAGACAGGTAGCAATGACCCTCTCTGCTTTGGAAATCCCAGCTAAACACCCTGTGGATTTGGGGGTTCCACCCACAGGACCAGTGAATATGCTCACTCTCGAGAGATTGCTCCAGAACTCTACATGAAGAACCTGTCTCGCCATATTTGCCAAAGTCACTCCCTTCCCAAAGCCTAAAATATGCTGTAGTGAAAGCCTATGTGACCTGAGGCGTTCTGAATCTGGTCTGTGCAAGCACTGATTGCATGACAAGATCAAAAAGATCATTTCTCTTAACTCAGAACATAGTGACAGATACGCCCTTATTCATGAGATTGCCTGCTGGTGCTGGATTTCCAGGAGATGCCATTGTTCTTTCCTCCTCTGGTGCTAGGCTATTGCTACCAGGAAAACACTGAATTTCCTTTCAGAGGTGTGATTACTTGGCTGCAGAGATGACTGCACTAGCCAGCTGATCTAAATGCTGAACTAGACCCAGAAACCTGAAAGCACAATCCACTGTAGTAGCATATAGTGTTTGGAGCTGCTACTGAGTATTTTTAGAGGTTCCCTTCTGGTTTAGCAGCCCAAACTGGAAGAGAGGGGTCAATAGAAAGACAGTAGGTTCTGATCATGACAGGCAACTCTTGTCACACTCTAGTTCCAGGGAAATATTCCATTGTTTTCCCATGTTGACAACCCCCTCTGAAATCAGAACATGTTATGAAGGCAGGAGTCCTGGTTTGTTATATCTTCTATCTCAGGACTTAATGTTCATGAATGAATGACAAAACCGTTTACACAAGGCTCCCAGAACTCATGCAGCTGTGGGCCAAGCCAAGAGCCATTCTGAACCTGGACATCCCTAGAGCCTTGTTTTTACAGTGACCTGATGTCACTTGTGTTTGCCCTCAGTGAGTTTTCGCAGTGAGCCTTCCCTCAGTCCCTTCACTGGGCTGCTCCATCCTGTCATCTAGACAATAGAGGAGAATATGACAGGTTCAGTTGTATTTTAAACTGTGTTTGCCTGGCATGGTGGTACACACCTATCATCCTAGCACAGAGGAGGAGGAATTGAGTCCAAGGTCTTCCTTGGCTGTATGGGAAGTTTAAGGCCAGCCTGAGAAGATCAGCACTGCTGCAGTTTTGGCTCATGGTGCTCCCCAATACAACTCACAATTAAGTTAGAACACAATAACACTCTGGTTATATGGCAGTTAATGAAGTTAGTTGGCTCTAGAGTTAACCTGCCAAGAATAGATGTAATACGTGTTGTTCTTACATTAAAACATTGTAAAACCAGTTTACTTTAAAATGCTGAACCACAGATGCATGGGAACACAATTATGGGTGTAGAAGCCCAGAGGATATACCTCAGATCTGTCTAACATTAAAGATGCCAGCAGTGTTTTCACATATGCTGTAGAATGGGACAAATATCCTCTCCCCTGTCTGCCTTTTAAAAGAAGTGAGAAAAACTAAGTTTTAACATATAGTTCTATATAAATACTTTGTATGTGTGGGGTCCTTTATGTGCAATGACAAGCACAGCTTTTGTAAGCCAATTCTTTCTGTCCACCATGTGCGTTCTGGGGTCAAACTCAGATCTCTAAGCTTGTCAGCAACCCTTGCCTGCTGAGCGGTCTCCCTGGCCTAAGTTTATAATTTTAAAAAGGAAATGGCAAGCCATAGAGTAGGAAGTTTTACGATGAACACAGCAAAAAGAGGAATCGAGTCCAAAATGTTTAAGAATTCCTACAAATTGTCAGGTAGTGGTGCACATGCCTTTAATCCCAACACTCTGGAGGCAGAAGCAGGTGGATCTGTATGAGTTTGAGGCCAGCCTGATCTTCAAAGATATTTCCAGGACCATCTCCAAACCTACAGAGAAAAACAAAAACAAAAAATTCCTACAAATAAATATGAAAAAGAAAACACATGCAAAAAATGGACAAGAGATTTGAATGGGAATTTTGTGAGGAGAATATCCGATGGCCAATATACAAATGACTCTCAGTGCCTTTAGTCACCAGGGAATGCAAATGAAAACTGTCCTGAGTTAATGCCTCCCCCAACATAAGGGCAGGAACAAGGAACAACTCCAATTGCTCTTGTGTTAACAGGTTTTCTGTTGCTATATATACATCTGAGATGATTTTGTTGTTGTTGTTGTGTTTTTGTTTTATTTTGTTTTGTTTGGAGACAGAGTCTCTCTCTCTCTCTCTCTCTCTCTCTCTCTATGTAGCCATGGCTACCTCGGCAGTTGCTATGTATGCCAGCCTAGCCTCAAACTCAGAGATCCACCTGCCTCTGCCTTCTGAGTGAGGGGACTAAAGGTGCGTACCACCATGCCCAGGTGTTTTTTTAATGTTTTAAAGACCATGAAATCAGGAAGGTATCCTTGGATCGGGTACTGGGACCCTGGTCCCTTACTCTTTCTTTGTGTTTCCTAGCCACGATGAAGGAGACAGGCCTTCTCTACATATGTTCAGTGGCACAGGCCCCAAAATAGCAAAGCCAGTTAAGCTGGACCAAAATCTCTGAAATCATGAATCAAAACAGACCTTTGCTCCTTAAGTTGATGATTGCAAACACTTTGCAATGGAGGGAGAAAGTTCCAGTAACTGTCTCACTCTGATCTCTGTCACCTGCTCTTTTGACTTGGACCTTTTACCTCCCCCCTCAGTTTTTTGAGGACCCTTGTGGTTACAGTGGATTCAACAGAGTTATCGCCCCATCTCAAAGCCTGGGATTTAACCACATCTATCAAGTTTTGTACGATGTGACAGACACACTCACCAGTGTTTTCCTTCTTCCTCTAAAGTTTAGAGGAAGTCAAAGTTTTAAAGTCTAAACTCCCCTAGAGCAGGAGGCTATGATCCACTTAGGAGAATAAAGGCAGCCATCTGGGAAGGCCACAGCTGAGGGATTTCCAAGGAAACAGTACCAGAACCACTAGGTTAATTAGGACAGCATCTACCCCTCTGCATGCTTTGTAACTTGTCCTGATACATGTCTGTCTCCTTTTTTTTGTTTGTTTGTTTGTTTTTTTTTCCGAGACAGGGTTTCTCTGTGGCTTTGGAGGCTGTCCTGGAACTCGCTTGGTAGTCCAGGCTGTCTCGAACTCACAGAGATCCGCCTGCCTCTGCCTCCCGAGTGCTGGGATCAAAGGCGAGCCCACCAATGCCTGGCTTATTTATTTATTTAATTATTTATTATGTATACAGTGCTCTGTCTGCATATCAGAAGAGGCACCAAATCTCATTATAAATGGTTGTGAGCCACCATGGGGGGGCTGGGAATTGAACTCAGGACCTCTAGAAGAGCAGCCAGTGCTCTTAACCTCTGAGCCATCTCTCCTCATTCAGATTTTATGTTATGTGAATGACATAATAGCCAATAGTTCATTAAAATGGAAGACTTTCTTTTTGATGGAGACAGTCTTGTTATATAACCCAGGCTGGGCTCCAACTCAACCCCCATGCTTGGATTCCAGGAATATGCTACCATGCCTGGCCAGATGAGCACTGCTGTGAAGGTTGACTGCACCTTGACAGGATCTAGAAGCCTCTGGTCATACCCGTGAGGGATTATTTGACTACGATAACAGAGGTTGGAAGACTCACCCTAAACGCAGTGGCGCCAGTCCCGGGATTGTGTCCTGAACTGCATACAAAGGAGAAAGCTAGCTGAGTTCACTCTGCTTCCTGACTGCAATGCGATGTGACCAGCTGCCTCAAAGTCCTGCCATGTGACTTCTCCATGGTGGTCTGTGCCCTCAAAACAGTCAGCCAAAACGAACCTTTTATCCCTCAAATTTGCTATTTGTCGGGTGTTTTGTAACAGCAGAGAAACAAGTGACAAGACCTACAAAGGAGAGGAGACCGACTATGGGTCTTGGGCAAAATTGGGCTCAAGCTTCTCAGAAGAGCCTTAGAAGGATTCTCGAACACAGTGCCTTCAGGGCTTTCCTTTGCTGTGCTCTTCCGCCCTTTCCCCCACTTTCCCACATTTCCACAGCATTTCAAGCAGGTGGAACCTCGAAGATGTCAATAAGCCACACCCATTCCCGCTGATTACATCAACACTCCCTGCTTAGAGAGGCTGGCTGCAGCATGCCCTCGAGACCTCAAAGATTTTGAATTGTGTGACCAGTCAAAGGCACTTAGGGAGAAGGCAGAGGAAGATCAAGAGGCAGAAACTTGAGGGTGAGCGAGATGTGAGCAATACAAGCAGCGTGAATTGTCTCTCCTACCAAAGGGTTAAATAACACAAAATTCCAGACAGAAATTAAGTTGTAAAGAAGCCACTTGGCAGAAATGAAAATTCCTCTAAGGCGAGCACTTGTTGAAGTTAAACTATGTGCTCTTCCCCGTCTTCTTGCACTGCTCGGTAATCACTTAAGACTTTGAGGCTGAGGTCTGACCAGTGAGACACAGGACCCTTTTGCATTAGGCATAAAAGGCAGTGGGCCCTTGGCTGTGCTTGCTTGCTTAAGTAAGGCCAAACACCCTACTGCAAAAGTAAAACTTTTTAACCTTGCAGAAATACTTTGAATTTGCATGGTCATTTTCTTGAGATCCCAGATCCATTTCTTAGAGAGATAAGTATGGGATGGGGGAGAACAGAACAGGAGTTTATGACTACAGCAGCTTGAGCAGAAAGAGCAATGTCCACAGAGGACTTCTGGCAGAATTCCTGGATGTATAACTCTTAGAATAGGGCTTGAAGAAGTCCTATGGGCTAGGAGTACGGCTAGGTGGTACAGTGTGTACACAGCACATAGGGACCCGTGTTCAATCTCCAGCACCTCAGAATGGGGAACTGGGAGTATTGCTTAGTGTAGAAGGTTTTCCCAGCATGCACACACAGGTCCTGAATCCACAAAACACACACACACACACACACACACACACACACACACACAAAGAAATACTGTCAGGTACTAGACAAAGTATTCTTTATGTTTTGTGTAGTTAGCTTTTTGCCTCCTTTTGAATGAGGAAATCTTCAGACAGAGGTTCTTGGCCCCCCCCCCCCCAGCTTATTCTCAAGTAGTGTGTGAGGACCCATGGAAGTCACAGAATATTAAAACAGTCCTTTGAGCTGGTCAGTGGTGGTGCACACCTTTAGTCCCAGCACTTAGGAGGCAGAGGCAGGTGGATCTCTGTGAGTTCGAAGCCAGTTTGGTCTACAAAGTGAGTTTCAGGATAGCCACACAGAAACTCTGTCTCCAAAAACCAAACCAAACCAAATAACAACGAAAAAAAACCAACCCAGTCCATTGAATCTTCTTAAACTCAATACATCCTAATCTTAAAGACCTATCTTTAAAATCTGCTTCTTCTCCTGAATTCTCTGTTCCAGTTAATGATATCATTCATTCACATACCCACAAACCAGGAAATTCTTGTGAACACATCTCTGCCCTCTATCTCCTGAAGCTAGTGGGTCACTTGGTCCTGTTGACTCTTGTCTTCCGAGAAATCTTACTTCTGTGTTCCACACTGTCTTTCTCTGCTGCTGCTCTGGTGTGGGGCTTGCTCTCTTCCTGTCTATCCTTTTCTAGTCAACTGTACAGCATTCCAGTTATTCTGTGGAGTACCAAGCGTACCCAGAAGGCAGCCATACAAAAATCAATGAGACTGAAGGAGTGACCAAGTGAATCTGTTTTGAGCATTTTGAGTATTTCTTTTTCTTCTTATTTATTCATTTATTTGTTTGTTTGTTTACTTGAGGGTACAGGGTTTCTTTATGTAGTCCTAGCTGTCCTGGAATTCATTATGTAGACTGTGCTGGCCTCAAACTCACAGAGATCTGCCTGTCTCTGCCTCTGCCTCCCGAGTGCTCGGATTAAAGACATCCACAACCACCCATAGTTTCGAATATTTCAAATTCCCTATTATAGGAAATGTTGTAATATCTTTTTTTGAACATAGCTCCTCCCCCTTCTTTCCCCAGTACTGAACTCAAGGCCTTGTTCCTCTTGATGAGTTACATCTCCTTTTAATTTTTATTTTGAAACAGGGGCGTTGTAGCTGGACAGTGGTATTGTACACCTTTAATCCAGCACTCCGGAGGCAGAGACAGGCAGATCTCTGTGAGTTCAAGGCCAGCTAGCCTTGTCTACAAAGTGAGTTCTGGGATAGCCAGGGCTACACAGAGAAAAACTGTCTGGGGTGAGATAGAGAGACAGACAGACAGACAGACAGACAGACAGACAGACAGACAGAGACACAGAGACACACAGAGAGGCACACACACAGAGAGACAGACAGGCAGACAGACAGAGAGAGAGACACACACACACACATACACAGACAGAGACACACAGAGAGACACAGAGAGAGAGAGAGAGAGAGAGAGAGAGAGAGAGAGAGAGAGAGAGAGAGAGAGAGAGAGATTGCCTCAGTTCCCAAAGTAGCTGGAATTACAGGCCCAAAGCACCACACTGGCTCTTTTTCCTTTCAAAAAAATTTAAACAAAAAGCTAAAAATAGAATTGTTTGAGAGAAGATACCACTGTTATCTCCCTGAAGTTTTCTCTGCAGGAAATCCTGAGCTGGAGATCTGAATGAGCCCAAGGATCTGATATGGAGGTGATTCCAAGAAACACTAGAGAGTGGGGAAGGGAGAGAAGGAAAGAAAGGAAACCAAGAGAGGGTTTATCAGCAACGATTTACCACGTGGGCAATTAAACCTTCGGCACACTGAGAAGTCTGGGGATGCAGACAGTACAGAGCATACTGTCAAAATGTTCAAAAGGAAATAACCTTTGAATTTAGAAGTGAAAGCAGAGGGCAAATGGGAAAGGCACTTAGAGCGTCTGCTACAGATATTTTTATAGCTTTTATATTTACCATTAAATTGCTCTGTGAAAGAACAGAACCAGTGTATACTAAGCTTGACCTTAAAACTGTGACCTTGCTCACACCCCATGACCTTGATAGTTCCTGCTTGTTTGCTTTCTGTTTTTTTTTCCCCCATGATCTCACATAGCCTAGGTCATCCTAGAACTCACTAAGGATAACTAAACATGTGAGCCTCCTGCCTCCATGATGAACTCTGGTTTGTGCTGGTTATGCTCTGTTCTACATAATGTTAGAGATAGGAGCTGTAACCATTCTTAGCAAGGAGAATGCCCAGATGCACTTCA